TTAAAGGGCAGATCATGAGAAAAATGAACATTTTTAAAATTAGTTTAAAAAAACCCTAGTTATGGCAGAGCTGCTAATGAGTGCTGAATATCTCCACTTTCCCCTCAGCTATGAAGATCATTTCTCTGTCCAGCGTCCTACCTACACTTTTCTGCCTTGATGTCCCCCTGAACACTTTCCTATTTCAAGACTTGGACCTAGGAATGACCCTGTCTTAGCTGTCCCTTTGGGTGGGGAGGGAGTGCAACAATCTCCCTCCTGACTGAGAGTGCCTTGGACCCTTCCTGAAGCACCATGTTAGCGGTTGCTGCAGCAGGCCCTCAACATAATTCCAGTGAGATTTGTAATGTTGCATGGCACAGGTGATGTTGTTCTCTTGATCTGATGTGAGACATTCCTCCAGGCAGAAATGTTAAGGTTCGGTACAGAGAGACTGATTTTTTTGTATATTTATATGTAACTCCAAAGTTGATTATCACAAATAAGTTTTGAACATAAGTATTTTTGGTAGACAGCTCATGTTTCATTCAGGGCTAAATGAGTATAAATTCATGTTTTATAAACACACTGGGCATTCTGAGGTTAAAACCTCTGACTCAAGCCCTATTCTCTTTATCCTCAAGTTTTGGACGTTTATTTTAAGCTGTTTCTTAAGTTTTCTGCTTTCTGTGCACTGAAGGAAGAGGGAATATTGTCACATCAGGTGTACTTTTTCACTCATTTCTGAATTGTCAGACAGTTCTTGGTGTCAGGGAGAGGGGAAGATGGTGATTTATCATGACTTATATATTCTACCCAGATCTTCCATTCCTTTTTTAGTTTTTTGGCTTGCATACAGATCTGAAAATTTATCCCTAAGCCTCCAGTGTTTGATCCTAATACTTGTTAAAAGTTATCAAAGTCTTTTGATTAAATTTGAGCTTTCGATGATGTCCTGCAGGAAGAGTTTGCTACACAGACTTGCTGGGGAATCATCACTTGCTTTCTATTTTCTTCATCTTCTATTTACTTCCTGCAGTAGGTCCTCTTTCTCCACCCTCTGCTGCATCCTTTCAGTTTGTTTCAAGCAGAGGAATTGTAAGTGGTGGACACATTCCTGCTCCCTTGCGACTTAGTCTGGTGCATACATACCATGCCAGAGAAAATAGAAGAAATTCAGCAATGGTATGGAGGGGACAAAGGTGCAGGTGATTGGGGCATGGTAGTCCTTGTTTGTCCTAACAGCTGCCAACCTTGGGAGGAATTAAGGGCCTGTTGTTCCAGGTGCTACAAACAAGATTTTCTAAGCACAATGGTATACCCCATTGAACTGCATAGTCTTTGTGGTGAAGAATGAGAAGAAAATGACACTTACTGGATTGATTGTTTGGTTTTGTATCTCATACAGTCCTGGGGAGGGGAGATGGAGGACAAAAGCTTTGTCTTATTTCAGTTGCTGGGCTTCCTTCCTTAGAGAGAAAATAGAATAAAATATAATATTCCAAGAACTCTTGAAGTATTTTTCTCTTGACTAGTGAGTATGAATCTTCATTACCTTTTTCAATTTTTGTTTGCACACTCAGAAGTGGAAGACTTTTATTTTTAACCCCAGTAAGACCCTTGTTTGATAAATGGAAGCTTAAAATGGAGAAAAAAAGTGTGGAGATGGATGGTAAGAATTTCTAACTGTTTCAATTTCCAAGGAAGAGAGACTACACAAAGAAAAGGACACTTAAAAATTCAGGGGCATGGAAATAGGTTCCAAAAAATCCACATTTGAAACAACTTTTTGAAGCTGCAAAACTACAGGGCACACATTTGATTTGCAGAAAAGAAGAAAATCGGAATACTTCATTATATAGTTTGTGTGAGACCATACAGTTCTTGAGTCATAATGACATTTCAGCTTGTGTAAATAGCTTATGCCAAGAGAGGATCCTGGTCTGATAGAAAAATTGCCTTAAATTAGGTTATTTTCAAAAGCAATATGCTAGCATCTCAGAAGCAAGAAAACACTTCCACGACTAATGTTAAAAAATAAAAATAACTCTTACTTTCTTTCTTTGCTGTTCTAAACTACTGAGGATTTAACTCTCCCTCCCTATCTTGTATTGTTTTGTTTTTCCTTTCTTTATCTTCCAGATCAAATGAAGATTACTTGATGCCACCAAGAAGTACCCTGAAAAAAAGTCCTTAATATTTTCTTATTTGTTTCTAATTGGTAGAGTGACAACATAGAATATCTGTACCCTGTTGAAAATCAGTATATCTTATTTTAGCTTATGATAGAAAAATAATTAAATAGCATGGTCATACCATGGTCATGTCTATCCAATTTTTTGTTGTCCTTTTTCATCTGCATTTGAAATACAGAACACAGGTTCTGCATATCCTATGATTTTGTCTCAGTCAAATGTATTGTCACAAAAATCTCACATGCAGACTTCCTTTGCTTTGTGAAATAGTAAAAACATATTTGTCTCTTGTAAAGCTGATGCCCAGTCTATGATGCAGCTGGAAATCACTTATGCTTAGGGTTGCCTGGAGCATTTCTCATTGTTTACTTGGAAAGACAGTGATTAAATTTTGTCAACACAGTTACTGGATTGATTCCAGAATCTTTGAAATGTGAGCTTCCAACTCCCTATGCACATTTCAGTCCTAATATAACCTCACTCAAAGGGTTTTGAGCAAAGATTTTAAAGTTTTCTAGATCAAGACTTTTGGGTGCCTTCTATTTTGTAGAAGGATCATATGAAGATCAGTGGTTGCAGGTTCAAATTTACCTTTTTAGATGAAGGTGAAAATCCTAATAATAAGAATGTAAAGAAGATTGTGCAGGGGATGTGTATTGGATAGAATTACAAAAAAGACTTTAATGATGAGAGTAGAGATCTGGCATAGCATCTCAGTAGGAATAAGAGAAGGGGGATCAAGTAGGCTAGATTTGAGATAAGTCTTGATAAATCTATGAACTCAAACATATGATAAGTTTGCCTGAAACAGAGGACTAGAATTCCTGACCTAGAATGTCTTTTCCAGACTTGGCATTCATAGCTTTGAAAGCTAAAGACTAAACAAAAAAATTAAAATCCTCTCCTAAACCAAATTGGTTTTGACTGCAGCAAAAATAAAGTGAAATAATTCAGTTCAAGAAAGAATTTGTATTTTTTCCTGTTTTCCTATGCTCCTCTGTTAGTCTCTTTCTTGGTGAATTACAGGGATAAAAGATACTCTTCATCTTTATTGCATCAACAACCGTATCACTTTTTTCCTTTCCTCATCATACAAATTTATGCTGACATTTCTGTTACTGCAATGAGTCCTCCAAGATCTGTCACGTTTTCTAGTAGGAGCAATCACCACATTTGTACATAGCTTTTCAGAAATAACACATTAAAACAAAAGATTGGGAGGGACCATGTTTGTCTTAAGATTTAGTTACCTTCTACCATAAGCACCCCTTGATGTTTAAACCTATTTGGAAATAAATCTAGAGACTAAATTAAGAGTAAAGAAAAAAGACCTCAAGTAAGCAGAAGAGAAGACCAAAAAAATGGGTGATACCCAGTGATACATATAAATCTGAGCTCTGACAGGAGCTCAGAGGGAACTCAACATGACTATAACTTTTTTCTTTGATTCAGAAAAGACATGTGGTAGGGGCTCTTCTTCCTCTGTTATCCTGACCAAACTTTCTGCAGGTGTTATGCTCCTTTTGCTTTGCCTCTTATTTCCTTTTGTAGGATTCCTGTTGTGGTGGGTTGACCCTGGCTGGATGCCAGATGCTCACGAAAGCCCACTCTATCATCCCCCTCCTCAGCAGGATGGGGAGGGGAGAAAATAAGATGCAACAGAAAAAAAACCCCAAACTTGTGGGTTGAGACAAAGGCAGTTTAATAGAAGCAAAGTTGTGCATGCAGAAGCAAGAGAACAATATATTTATTCTCTACTTCCCATCAGCAGGCGATGTTTGGCCACTTCCCAGGAAGTAGGGTTTTCATATGTGTTGCGGTTCCTGGAGGACAAACAGAAGTAACGAATGCCCTCCCCTCCCACTCCTTTTCCCTTGCTTTTATTTCTGAGCAGATGTCACATGGTAAGGAATGTCCCTTTGGTCAGTTTGGGTTGGCTGTCCTGGCTATGTCCCCTCCCAAGACCTTCCCTACCCCACCCTACTGGGGGGGAGGGGAAATGTTGGAGAGACAGCCTTGGTGCTGTGCTAGCACTGCTCACCAGTAACCAAAACACTGGTGTGTTATCAACACCCCTTGAGCCACTAATACAAAACACAGCACTCTGAGGGCTGCCACGGGGAAAATCAACTCCATCCCACCCAGACCCAATACACCTGTGTATTACTTGTGTGTCTACCAGATTTGTTACTTTACTCAAGGAGATGGTCACAGAAAGGCTAGGTGGCTCTGTTTGGTCTTACATCTGATCAATACAAGCTGAATATGGTATTTGATATGATAGATCCAAATGCTCCTACCAGAACTTACTCAGGGAGCTGATGTACTGTAGCTACGTCTCAGCTCTGGGGCTGCTGTTTGAAGTACTTGATAAGATTGCTAGTGGAAATTTGTTTCACTGTCTTCAGATTGGTCTTCAGTGGACCTGAGTTGCCTATTAGGTGCAGGAGGACTGGGCTTGAGGCTGAAAGCAGGGCTGGTCAGAGCTGCATAGAGCTGCAGTGTTTCATGGAAATGCTGCAAGGAAACCCATACTTTTGCCAAACTGTTTTGTGTGCTGAGGGGTTGAGAGAGAGGAAAGATCTGTTGGGGTCTTGGAGATGTTGATGTTGGTTGTATGGGAAGCTACCCCAATCTTTGCTTTTCTGTACCCTGGTTCCCTGGGCAGCAGGCAGTGACAGGTGTGTAAGCAAATATTTCACAAGGAGTTTTGAATGGTCTATTACTCTTAATGCTAATTGAATTTCTTGCATTAGCATTCACTGCTGAGGGTGCCTGAGAGTGTCCTAGGCTGAGCTGCTATTTGTGTGGGTGAACCTGAGGAAAATGCGAAGGTTAATGGAAGAGGCTAAAGACCATATTGACAAAAGAGCCAGTAACTAATCACTAGGATTTGATTTTGCTAAGTATTCTGATGGAATTCAAATAAGAAATTGCTGAGAGGGCTTTATAATAGCTCCCTTAAACCAACTCCTATCCTAAAGGAATCAAGTGGTCATACAGGGTCGCACAGAGTGCTGATGGGGTAACCCAGCAACAATTTCTAATCAGAAAAACTGGTAGAGCTGCCCAGAACTGAACACAATATTCTAGATGGTGCCACACCAGGGCAGAGTTGAGGGGGAGGATCACCTCCCTCGACCTGCTGGTCACACTCTTCTTAATACAGCCCAGGATACCATTGGCCTTCTTGGCCACAAGGGCACATTGTTGGCTCGTGGTCAACTGGTACTCCCAGGTCCTTCTCTGCAGGGCTGCTATCCAGCAGGTCAGCCCCCAACCTGTACTGGTGCCTGGGGTTATTCCTCCCCATGTGCAGGACCCTACACTCGCCTTTATTGAACTTCATCAGGTTCCTCTGCGCCCAACTCTTCAGTGTGTCCAGATCTTGCTGAATGGCAGCACAGCCTTCCGGTGTATCAGCCATTCCTCCCAGTTTAGTGTCATCAGCAAAGTAGCTGAGGGTACACTCAGTCCCTTCATCCAAGTCACTGATGAATATAATGAATAGCACCTGACCAAGTACTGACCCCTGGGGAATGCCACTAACCACAGGCCTCCAAATAGACACTGCACTGCTGATTAAAACTCTCTGAGCTCTGCCATTGAGCCAGTTCTTCACCCACCTCATCTAATCTGCACTTCCTAAGCTTACCTATGAAGATGCTATGGGAGAGTGTCAAAAGCCTTGCTGAAGTCAAGGCAGACAACATCCACTGCTCTACCCTTATGCACCCAGCCAGTCATGCCATCATAGAAGGCTATCAGATTGGTCAGGCATGATTTCCCCTTAGTGAATCCATGTTGACTATTCCAAACAACCTTCTTTTCCTCTGCATGCTTAGAGATGGCATTCAGAATGAACAGTTCCATCACCTTCCCAGGAATGGAAGTGAGGCTGACTGGCCTGTAGTTTCCTGGGTCCTCCTTCATGCCCTTTTTGAAGACTGGAGTGACAGTGGCTTTTCTTCAGCCCTCGGGTACCTCTCCCATCCTCCATGACCTTTCAAAGGTGATGGAGAGTGGTTCTACAATAACATCTGCCAGCTCCCTCAACACTCGAGGGTGCATCCCATCAGGGCCCATAAACTTGTGGGTGTTGAGTTTAGCTAAATGGCCCCTAACCTGATCTTCCTTGACAAGGAGGATGGCTTTCACATGGTTAAACAACCTTTTAAATGGGGTGGTTAGCAATTAATTGGTTGGTGGTTTTCAGAGCTTTACTTGGGGAGTTTACTGATGGGGATCTGTGATGGGAGCAAAGTGTGAGGGGCTAAAGCTTGCTAGTGCTCTGCACAATTAGTTGGGGTGGGCACAGGCTGATTGTGGAAAGATCTTAATATGCTGAATGACTGCATCAAACTGCAGCTGAAATATGAGTTTGAAGGCAAAATAATACACGCAGGAAAAACACTTTTACAGGTTGGACTTTATATTAGCATTTAGCACTCAGGAAAGAGATCTTTGGATAATTGCAAGTACTCTTATGAAATGCTTAATTCAGTGCTTGCAAGTGTTAAAACGGCAAGTAAAGGGCTCAGAATGAGGGAAGGAAAAAAGAACAATGCAGAAAATATGGCGATACCACTGATAAACCTCTGGTGCAGATAGATCTTGAATATTTGTTCTAGTTCTGGCAATCGTGCCTCAAAAAAGATATAGTCAAGCTAGAAAACACTGACAAAGACAGAACAGCTTAGATATCAGCAGGAGCTTAAACTGTCTAGGCTGCTTCTACTTGGTGGGGGGAAGGTGAATGAAGGGGTATATGAATAGAGATTCATAAAATCACAGAAGGTGTAGAGAGGCAAATGATTACTTGCTGTTCCTCACAATATGATACACCAACTGAATTATCAAACAGAATTTTAAAATCAGACAGAAAGAAGTACTTTACACTGTCCATAATCTAATTGTGGAGCTCATTATGTAAGCTGCTGTGGAGACCAAGAGTATAAATGGGTTCAGGGAAGGACCAACACATTCCTAGAGTAAAGAGCCATTATAGGCTATTAAGCACAAAGATCTGGAAGCAGACTCCAGCTCAGGAAGTCCTTAAACTACTGATTACTGGAAGCTGGCACTGGAGTATGTCAGGGGAAGGATCACCCAATTTGTGCCAGTGCTTATCTAAACACCTGCTACTGGCTGTTGTCAAAAATGAGATACTGGACTAGACAGATTTTTTTTTTTTTTTTAATTTGACTGAAGTTGACTTCTTTTATATGGAATACAAATAAGTCAGAAATCTTGATGATATTGTGAAATAGTCATTGCCCCACGGTCAGCTTGAAAGGAGAACATTACATGCCCAGAAAGCAAGCTGGGAACAGCAGGTTGCGGGAGCTCTGTGTGGTCAGCTGAGATGCACAGGGAAAACATAAATGACAGAGTTTAGCCAGTACATTTTGTTTATGACTTTCAGGAGTGAAAACCACCTCCAGACAGACTTGGGAGTGTATAAACTGTTCATACAGTGTGCAGGCATTGTCTGGCTGTGTACAGGGATTTTCAAGTTGTGGTTAGCAAAGCTGAGAGCTGGCAGGCATGGGGTTTATCTACATTGAATGTTCAAAAAAAAGCAGAGCTATTGTAACTTAGAGTTTGTTATACAAATGACTGTCCTTTTCTCAGTAAATATCTATATTAACTTTGAGAAAAGATTCCAAAAATATCTCTCCTGGCAGGTGTCCTAACCATAGGACCTGTGAAAGCCAGACTGCGTTTTTATGATCTCTCAACCTTGCAGCTGGGAGACTACCCCAATGGCAGCTTATACCCCTATGAAAAAGAGGGTAATAACTGCAGCCTGGAAAGGCAGCAACTCCAACACCAGTGACAACTAAAATTACACTCAAATCTGTTAACCACATGCAGCACTAACTTACTCTTTCTTTTCCAAGTAGAATTTTCTAACACTTAAATGAGCTGCATACTATTGACTAATTGTCTTTTGTGGATTCAGGCATAATTTTTCCATCCAAACAACTCATTGGAGGATTTTTATATGCCTTAGGTAGAGGGAAAGGCTCAGTAAATCCAAAGCCTTGGATATAAACTCAAATCCCCCCTAATCAAATAGTCTCCTTTGATATAATAAGTAGGTTGAGTCTTGCCTGACTTTTCAGCAAAATGAAAAAGAAAATATAATGCTTTTTATAAAAAAAAAAAATCAGTTGTTATACTTGAATAGCTTGGATGTCTGATTGTTTTTGGTTTCCAAGACAGTCAACTGCTCTATTAAAGAGTTTCCTTAATGGTATCCACTATGGAATTAGTATCAGATATATTCTTCTGTTATATATTTAATGACATACACATGTATGTGCACCCACGCTTGTTCACAGTGGTGGTGTGTTAGCTAAGTTGATAATAAATATCTACTACAAATTACTGGTTACTGCTTATGGAAAAAGTAATCATCAAAATACAGCTTGTTGCATATGGTGCGATGTTTCCTTGCTGCTTGTTGTTACATCAGCAGGATGGCAGGTGTGCTGATTTTAACAAAGTTGTGGACTTCATAGTCTGAAGAATAGAATATATAATGAAAGCACAGATTCACTTTTTCTGGCTGTCTTTTACCAGGGGAAAAGTGATTACTTTTGCTTTTATGGGAAACACTGCCTGTCAAGCCTGTGTTTTCATTCATACACTCAGCATAATGGAGACAAAATTGCTGGGAAAGATAACTAAAAACCACTCGTACTAACTTATTATTGGAAAAATGCCAGATGGTGTAATCTGCTAGTTAAAGTACTATGAGATATGATCAACTGGATACTCGGCATCTGCTCTATTATCAGATTTGTGCTACCTTCCCTTTCCCCCACTTTCCCATCTCTTGTCTGCCTTACACTTATTAAAAGGCCATGTGTTTGCTCTTTAGCCTGACCTTTTTTTTTTTTTTTTTTTTTTTTTTGTGGAAAAGTTTTGGTGGTGCGTGCAGTGTGTTTTGACACTCTGTGTCTCTGTTTTCAGACAAAGTTCTGATAAGAAGCTGTGTAAAAGCAGGCATTTTTAGCTTGCTCCTGGACCCTAAGGGTCCCTTCTGGCTAGTTCATGCAAATTTGCAATCCCTGAGATAATTTTAAGGTTTTTTTATGTTAAAAGAAACCTAAAAAAAAGGCATTATTGTAATGCCTGTGTTTTTTGTACTTTCCAGACAAAGCCATAAATCCAGTTCGATATGCAGAGGAAGGGCAGGCTGTTGATACAAAACTGTGCCAAGTCTCCCCCAAAAGGCTCATCAGCCTCGGCTCACTTTCAAAGGAACATAGGCCAAGTCTCAGGTCCTGCTGCAGGAGGCTTGCACATCTCTAATTCTGACTTGAAACAGCGGCCAAAGCTTGATGCTGAGGTATCTGTAGCCATTCATTAGGCATATTTACCTTTTCACTCTCTGCTGAATTTTCCTTCCAGCTGGAAGCCTTGTCCTTGGGCTGGCCAGTTATTTTTTTTTTTTTCCCTAGGAATGCTCATTGCGTGCTTTGCATTGATAAATTTGTTTAGTGGATGCATGCAACTTTACAGGCTATATTGCTTGACAAGTAAATAGGCTGTAAGCAGTGTTGGCTGAAAATGTTGGCATTTTTCATCAAATAATAATTAATTGCTAAGATTTTATTATTTGTCCAACTTTAAGTACTACTTTGCACAAAGTGGATGCTACCTGCCTCTGCTATGAGGGCAGAACTAAGTAGGTGTTTGCTTTATCACTGCCAGTGATGCAGGGTGGAAAATGTGATACTTCCCCATTTCCACTAAAATAAATTGCCATGTTATAAACCATGAATATATGTAAGAATGTACTCTTGTGTTTAGGAAGCGCTAATAAGTAAATTGATACCCAAAACAGCACGGAAGGAAACTGACCTAACAAATATTGGAAACCGTTTTCTGGAAAAATATATTTAAATATATATATATGTATATATATATGTGTGTGTGTGTGTATACTAGTTTCTTGTGGTTTATTTCTTTAAGGCCTTGTAACTTATGTTGTACTGACATATATGGCATAAAATCTTGCTTATTAAATTGTTCCCTCCTGATACATTGCCAGGTAGTGAAAGTATTTTCCCTGGGTTCCTTCCCTCTAATGGATTTTCTTCAAATGCAAAATATTTTGTAAAAGACCTTTAATATCAATGTCTTGCCAACATTGTTAAGTGGAAAGGGGGCACTGGGTGGTCAGAGGCTGATGTTAATGTGTTGAGCTGATCATGCTACCCACAGGAAAGGGAATTTAAGAAATTGTGATTCAACCCATTGAATTTTTCTGGACATGCACTGTGAGCAGTGAGGGTTCCAAGCTCCTGTACTGTGGATATATATTGCACTGTATATTTTCAGGGCAATGAAAAGATTTATTTAGCATATGGCTGACCTGGATTGTCATCACTAGCTCAATTGACCTTTATTGCCTTGGGACAGTGGTAAGCTTAGGAGATGCTATAAATAGTTGTTGCACTGTGGGAGTGGTATCGCAAAAATCCACTTTATACAAGCAGACTGTCATTTCGCTTTGTGGGGGATGAGTGCATTTGGCTTACAAAAGGAGATATCTCATTGAGATGTTTTTGGACTCTTCTGAATCACCGCAGCTGAAGCTGTGAGATTGTTTTGGCCACCACCATCAGGTGCTAAAATATACAAGCAACAATGTTATGAAGCTTTATGAAACCTACTGTCCAAGTACAGCTGAGCTTTGTACTTTGAGCTATGTACTGTGCTTCCTTCCACCTGATGGTTCACTGTATGAGGCTGATCTGGTAGGACTGGATGCCGTTGGGGAAACAGGCAGTGGATATGCTGTCAGCACTTGTGGAGCTTCAGGAGTGCTTCTGGTGACCATCTGTGACTTTTGAAGGAGGCTGTATGTAGGCCTCAAGAGATGTAAGAATTACTTTGGACCAAAAAGATAGAATGGAAGTGTAAGTGGAAAGACACTGTAATACCTTGAAGGATGCTCATATGATCAAAAAAGGTAGTAGTATGACTCCCCTTCCTGACGAAGTGGTATCCCCATGTTTTGTTTTATGTAGTCTGCTGAATGGATGACTTTTCCCAGCCTATAAATTAAGTAAAAGCAAGAGATGTTTTGCTCTTTGTATAAACTCATACTTAATTTCTCCAGTAAAGGCTATTTGGAATTATGCATAACTTGATGCAGCAGGTTCAGCTGGTATGTAAGGAATAGGTGTAATGAATGAGGACTGCACTGAAAGTGGCAAACTGAACCGTATATAGTCCACTGGATTTGATATTTCAGCTTAGTGCCAGATGAGTAACTGATCTTCATTAAACAGTAATTTTCAGCGTTCAGATTACTTTCTTATTTTCCTAAACTGCTTTAGCAGGAGATGGCGTTCAAGCAACATTTCACCCAAGCTGAAATTATGTGCTCTACTACCTTTCCTGATTTCTGGAGAAGGGTGGGGTGGGTAATTATACTGGGTAATTATTTTGGATATACACTCCATTTATTTTTTGTCTTTTCAATTTGCAGGAAAGCAATCTCCAGGTCAGGCCTCCAGCACTTGGCTCCTGTGCATTCCCTCAATGTTGCAGTCTCCAATGGACCTGTGAAGGAACCAAGGGCGGCCTTAGAGTGGACCGTACGTGTTTGGTTTTTTGACAGTTAATTTGAGCAGTATCTCTGGATAGTGCTCTCTCCATCCTTAACTCAACATAAGACATTGCATTCCTATCAGAATTAGTGCTGGTCATTAGGAACATGTTTCTGCTATGAAATGAAGCACAAGGCAGAGACACGAATATTTGTGGAGGCTTGAGCAGCACAGGACAGAGCTGGTTTAGATTTTCCAGCTTGGGAACTGTCTGGCTACATTTGCTCACTGCCTCCTTGATGAGGTCTGCCACCCAACGGTCATCTATTTTAGCACAGCAGGGTTTTGTACCTCTGCCTGATGGGCCAAAATTTAAGGCTGAAGAGACATGTTGGGTTGGCTGGGCCTGTAGAGTAGGCAGTAAAAATCTTTGGTCATGATACTTTGTAGGTATTAGGTGTATTTCATCTGGGACCAAGCTGGGTTGTAGATACAGAGAGCATATGTTTCCGTCCCCCTATCTTGCTTCTCTTATGTTTCTGGGCTAGTTCAGAATGGGCCAGCTTAGGACTGTCTAGAATATAATAGAATATTTCAGTTGTAAGGGGTCTACAGTGATCATCTAGTCACTGAATGACCACTTCAGGGCTGACCAAAAATTAAAGCATGTTATAAAGGGCACTATGCAAATGCCTCTTAAACTTTGATAGGCATGGGGGCATCAATCACCTCTTTAGGAAGTCTTTTCCAATGTTTGACCACCCTCTCTGTATAGAAGTGTTTCCTAATATCAAATATGAACCCCCTTTGACACAATTTTGAACCATTCCCATGTGGTTATGCACTGGTACGGGCTAAGAAGTCAAGTCTTAAGCCACCAGGGCACACAAAATTCCCATTTAAAGCAAAGCATAGATTAGATCTTGTATTTGGGTATTGGTAAAGAACTCAGTACAACGGTAGTATCAAGGCACCAGCCACCTAAGTGGCTTTTAGGTGAAGATAGCTTATGTTTTGATGATTATGGCTTATGTTTATGTCTCTTCTTTATACCAAGACTGAATGGCTTTCTGGACGGCATGCTCTGTTTCAACCTCAGCTGTTGCATTTGAAGTTTAAGGGGATGAAATTTTACAGGTTGTGCTGCAGGAAGCTGGATTAGATGCAGTACTATATTCTGTAGTACTGTATTTTAACACAGAGTGTTAAATCAGTTTGAAAGCTTATGTAAAATCCTCTTGGAAGAGCCTTGGAGAATACCTTGACCTTTCCCCCTAGGAAAACTGGGGTCCTGATTCAGCAAGATATTAAAACACGTGTGTGCTTTGAGTCACTGATGCTCTTTAGTAGAAACCTGAAGGATCAGTCACACATGTGAAGCTTTAAGCACAGGCTAAATTAAACACCTTTCACAATTGTACTTAGAAAACAGCAACACTCCCCCCGCCCCCCCCACCCCAAACCCAACCCAAAACAAAACAAAAAACAAACTAAACCCAGCAATGACAACTTACCCTTCAAAGTCTGCTACTTGTTTTACCAGGTGCTTTCTCATGTGGTTGCAATACATAAATACTACAGGACTTAATATAGGTTGGTGAATAGACCACTAATATTGTGGGTTTTAATTGTGTGCGTGTGTGTGTGTGTGTGGAGGATGTTTTTGCACTTTACTTCCTGGCTTACAGTTTAGATTTTTGATCAGTTCAATTTCTCAGCTGTTCAGCCTCTCGGATTTGTGTTGCTGCTTTATGTCACACTTTAATTGGAGAAGTAAGGCAACACCGTGGCATGTGGGGAAAGGGGCAGGATAGGGACTGGAAGACATCTGTGGCTGTCAGGAGCCTGAACTCAGCTGTAGTAACTGGTGCATATGGGAGAGAAAGGCATTTCTCAAATCTGAGTTGCAGTATAAGAGGTAATAGGGAGGTGATTTGGAGGTGTGAAGAAGCTGAAATGGACCAAAGTTTATAATGGACAGTGAATGTCAATAAAAAGAAAAGTTATATTTTAAATACTGTTGTTTAGTTCCAGAGGTGTATTTGGTAAAGTGAAAAGATATTTGGATCCAGATGTATTTGAGTCAGACAGGAAGTCTTTGTAATTAGTCACTTGAAAACAGCATTAATCAGTGCATGTTGCATCCCCATCTATATCATCCTGCTCTTTGGTATTTCTGAGGATGATTCTCCAAGGGCTCATGATGGGAGATCTTTCCAAAGTTTAAGTGACATGATTGTAAATTGTCACTTGACTTTGCAGTAGAAAATGTTTCCTCCTTTTCATCTTCACAGTAATAACTGGAAAGAATTCCCTTGGCTATTGTTTCCATTTTTGATAACTCCTTGCAGGTGATTTGCCATTATCAGCGAATCTTGTGAACAGGACACTGATCCAGGGAGTGGGATTTCCATTCCCTGCTCTGTCACTTTGTGAGTGAGCTCAGATGAATTTTTTTGTCACTCAAGACTTTAGCTTCTCTAGCTGTAAAATGGAGCTGATGATTTTGATGTCTCTTAAGACCCTTTACATAAGAAAACAGTATTGCTTTATTATTGTTGTTGTTACTATCTCTCATCCCTGAGGTTTCTTTTCTCTCACATACTTACAAACACCCAGTTTAATCACAATTGCTACACCTAATTCAAGTTAACTTGTAGCTTTGTTGTCTAATTTAATGCTATCTTTTCACAGCAGGGCCATACAGAATATGTTCTTTGGAGTAGGTGATGTTCTAGCCAGAGGGCAATGCAATATGCCTTACCAAAAAGGAACCAACTTAACTGCCTGTCCCTGTGATATGTTTATGCAGAGCCTCTTCTCCCACCCTCCCCTGTTTTAGGCATCACTCCCACAAGTTAAATGGTAAAGTAAGCCCAGATTCTCAAGGAAGTATGGGCTGAGCCACCACATACAGTGCCTGTGTACCACTGTTTATCTAGGTCTTTGTATAATTTCATATTGCCATTTGTTTTCAAGGAAAATAACCGTAAGCTTTTGTGCAAAGTCATTCTGTACTTTCCTTTTAAGTACTGTCTTCTAGCTCTTGCTTTCTTTGGTGCCTACAAAAGTCTTGACAACCACGTAAGATATTAGCGTGTTGAGCTTCCCACTGGCCAAAATTGTCTCATTATTTTATTTGCCCATCATACATTTGTCTGTTGATGCTAGTTTCTTGCCTTCTTGTTAGCACGCATTTAAATCCTGTGACTACAAGCCTTAGAACTCTAGTTATGTCCATTAAGAGGCATTTGAGAACATGCAACTTCCACTCTTGGAGTTGAATGAAAAAGTTTGAGACTGATCTGTGCTTTGTGTTCTCTGAATGCAGAGAGTTCTCTGGGTGAAAGATGAATGTTCTTCAGAGGAAAAATATTATAACATTAAATGATGAACTATATGTATTACAGACACACAAAATCTTACAGAAATTACCAATAATAGAAAACTGTGCATTTGAGTAGAAGCTGAAAACTCTGTTTGGCAACATGAGATACTATTTTTGTGTGTTTTACTTTTACCTGCTTCTATAAAATTAGTTGGTTGAGAGGGTCTATTCAGTTGCATAGGATATTTTAACATGCAGGGAAAAGTTGTTCTTTATACTTTCTGCTAAATATTAGAAGATTGCAGGGCTGTGATCTCACTGTGCAATAGTACACATGACTGGAGTGGCATAATGGACAGATATGGACTTTTTAGGAAGGACAAAGCCAGAATGGTGAGGAGATGGAGTTGTCCCTCATATTGGAGAGAAGCAGGAATTCTTGAAGCTCTGCTGGGGAACAGATAATGAGCCTGTGAAGAGCTTATGGATCAAGATTAGATAGTAAACCAAAACAGGCAATATTGTTGAGGGTGTCTTGTTCAGGAAGAGGTAGAAGATGAGGCCACCTTCAGACAAGAGTAAGCAGCCTCATGTTTGCAGACCCTGGTACTTATGTGGACAGCATGAGCCATCCTGATGTCTACTGAAGGAACAAGAGGGCACAAGAAATCCAGGAAGTTTCTGGAATGTACTGATGAGAACTTCTTGACTTGAGTGATTGAGAAACTGATGAGGGGAGGTGCTCTTCTGGATCTCATGCTTGCAAACAAAGAACTGGTGGGGAATGTGAAGGTCGGGACAGTCTTGCCTGCAGTAATGATGAGATGGTAGAGTTCAGGATCCTGGAAAGAGGGAACAAGGAAAACAGCAGGATCATAGCCTTGCACTTCAAAAGAACAGACTTTGACTTGTTCAAGGAACTGTTTGGAAGAATAACGTGATATAACTCTGAAGAGAAAAGGGCTTCAGGAAAACTAGTTGATATTAAAATATTACCTCCTTAGTGCTCAAGAACAGTCCATCCTCACATGCAGTAAGTCAAGCAAAAGTATCCGAAGGCCTGCATGGATGCATAAGGAACTCCAGACAAAACTCAAATATTTAAAACAAAACAAAAAACCATCTGGAGTTGAATCTGATACGAACATGAAGGGCAACAGATATGGTTTCTGTAGGCATAACAGAAGCAGTAGGAAAGCTAGGAAAAATGTTAGGTGACTGCTGAATGTGGTGGGGGACTTGGTGACAAAGGACATGGAAAAATCAATGTGCTTAATGCCTTTTTTGCTTCTATTTTTACTGGTAAGACCTGCCTTCAGGAATCCCAGGCCCCTGACACCAGTGGCTGAAGCAAGGAAGACTTTTTTGGAGGATGATCAGGTTAGGGAGCATTTAAACAGGATGAACATATAGAAGTCCATGGGACGTGATGAAATGCATGCTGATATCATTGCGAGGCCAGTCTGTTGTCTTTGAAAGGTCATGACGATCAGAGGGTTCCTGAGGAGAGTGACAAAGCAAATGTCAATCCTGACTTCAAGAAAGGCAAGGAGGAGAATCCAAGGAACTACTTACTGATCAACCTTGCTTTGGTTCCTGGGAAGGTGACAGAGCAAATCTTTCTGGAAGCCATTTCTAAAAATATTAAGGATAAGAAAGTGATTAAGAGTAGTCAGCATGGATTTATGAAGGGGAGATCACACCTGACCAATCTGACAGC